GGGCTTAGCAGGCAGGCGGCCTTGGAGCCCCGGAGCTCACTGGGGGCCAGGCCTTTGCAGGGTAAATTCATTTTTGGCTTAGAGAATATTTCTAGAACATCGAACACATTTATATTTTTTAAAAGCACAAACATCCCAAAGTCGTATAGAAGCAGTTTGGGATTCCCTGAGTCACTTGTTCCCTCTAGGAAGCAGGAGACGGGAGGCAGACTTTTCACTGGGGGCGTTTCTGTGGACACACACAGACACACACACACGGTGGTGTCATCTGTGTGGGCTGGGCCAGTGGGTAGGGAAAGGTTTCTGTCAGCAGATGACACCACCTTCTGTTTGGTCACCTGGGAGGTGACTTGCACTCCTCAAGCTTCAGACCTCAAGGGCTGGCTTTCCATCTCCCCTCTGGGCAGTTCACATTCCTGGGGTTGAAATTCCAGACTCCCCCCTCCCCCTAGAAATGATGCCCTTTGGCCTCCTGAACAGAGGAGCTGTGTGCTGCTCAGGCCTGCAGGGGGGGACTTGGCCGAGGTGGAGGAGAGGTGCTCACGGGGAACAAGGCTTGCTTGTTTGCCCGCCGTGGTCCTGAGGTCTGAGTGTCCCGTAAGCCCGGCCAGGCCGCCAGGCTGCTGGGGTTCGGAAGGTGCTGGTCATTCCCCAGCTGGCCTGCAGCCCTTGTCGCGCCTGGGTCACAGGCAGGCGTTAGAACCATGTGACTGAGTAGTCCCTCTCCCAGATTGAGGCTCTAGGTCAGGGTTCTCTCTCTTCCCCTGAAACTGCTAGTGCTGGTTCTTCCTTCCTACGACCCTGCCCGTCTGCTCGCCTTCCCTGGGAGCGCGGGAGGGCTGCGAGGTAATGTGAGAACCTGGCTGCTCCTGGCTGCTCACCCCTTTCTGTAGTCCTTTGTCTTTTGGTCAGTTGTTCTGTAAGCCTGTTTCTCTTGAGTCTAGATTTCCATTCCTTTGTGAACACTCTCAAAGTCGCCTCCTGCTTTGTCACTTCCCAGAGAGCAGAGGCACAGATGGAAGCTCCTTTACCTGGCTGTACAGAGTGTCTCTGCTCTTCCCAGAGACTGCGCAGTCTTTGGCTCTGCTTCCTTATTGTTACCTGAGAAGGTAACAATTAGAGAGTGTTTGCTGCCTGCCCGGCAGGAACTACAGGTATCACCTCATTTAACCCTCCAAGAACCTGAGAGGTAGAGATTATCTGCCCCATTTTACAGATGCAGGAACAAGAACTTCCCAAGATCGAGTGAGGCTGAGGGCACCCAGCTGCAATGTCGGCAGAGCTAAGATTCAAACACGGTCCCTCTACCTCCTGTAGCTGTTGGTGGGCAGTTCCCTGAGCAGCTCTACCCTCTCAGAGCTGCGAGGAAGTGGGGACACTGTGGTGCAGACTGCAGACCCTGGGTGACAATAGGACGCAGGCTGCCAGGGAGCCCTTGATTCAGTCAGAAGGCCCAAGTTCTTTCCGCATCATTTTAATTTTTTCTTTTTTGATTATGTGACACAAGAGCCACAGTTAACTTTTTGGGGTTCATCCTGCCAATATTTTCTGTGAGTACACACACCGACAATATACAGGTTACAAAATGAAGGTATATTATGTGGTTTAGGTCAAGTTTTTATTGTATTTACATTCTGAGTAGGTAATATGATATCATGGTTGAAAACTCAAAAAGAAAAGAGTATACTGAAAAATCTCCCTCATTCACTTTTCGGCCAGGCACCCAGTCCCCTCCCTGTATTACTATTTTTTGATGTAATCCTTCCAGAAATAGTGTTTAAATAGGAAAGTAAACACACACAAACACTGCCTTTGTGTCCTTTCCACCCAGATGGTAGGTTGCCTAATAGACCCACCTGTGAACTTAGAGATAATTCCATACCTGTCATAAAAAACTGTTGCATTTTTAATAGATGTTTTTCCATGTAGTTAAATATTTTCTAAAACTTGATTTTTAATTGCATCAGATGGATATATTTTAATTTAATTAAACCTATATTGATGGTTAAGTTGTTTTTTTAAAAAAATATACCTTTATTGATTTCAGAGAGAGGAAGAGGGAGGGAGAGAGAGACGGAAATATCAGTGATGAGAGAGTCATTGATCAGCTGCCTCCTGCACACCCCTGTCGGGGGATTGAGCCCGCAACCCGGGCACGTGCCCTGACCGGGAATTGAACCCCGATCTCCTGGATCCTAGGTCGATGCTCAACCGCTGAGCCACGCCCAACTGGGCAAGTTGGTTGCAGTTCTGTACCATTATAAATAGCATTGTTACTAATATCCTTGTTCAGTTTTGTTGTGCATCTGTGAATGCTGCTTTAGAATCAGTAGCCACAGTGGAACTATTATCTCAAAGGGCATAAACTTATTGCCGAATTGTCCTCTGGAATGTTGCAAAAATTTATACTTCAGCAGGCTATGAAAATATCAATTTCCCCTATAATCCCACCTGTTTAATCAGAATGGTATTTTAAAAAATTTACATTTTACATTCATACAGGCTGTAAATTTCTTGTCTTTTGTTTCATGTCTGTGCTTTTCTGTGTCACTTTTTAAAATTAGGATATCCCTGTTTTATTGATTTGTAAGTATTCTTTACATATTAAGATTATGAATGTTTTGTCTGCCCGTAAATTTCAAACGAAGCCTGAGTTCTAATCCTGTCTCTGCCCTAGACTAATGTGATGCTGCTCCATGCTCCAGCCTTCAGTGTCCCTGGCTATGTGTTATGTGACCTCTGAGGCCACTTTCTGACTGAAGTGTCCACACCTTTTAACCCTTCAGGCGCCAGGAACTCCGAGAGCTTCGGCTGCTCCAGAAAGAAGAGCATCGGAACCAGAACCAGCTGAGCAGGAAGCATGAGCTGCAGCTGGAGCAGATGCATAAACGTTTTGAACAAGAAGTCAACGTGAGTGCGAGGAAAGATGGGTCCCGATAGGGCTTCTTGCCTCTGTGTTTTCTTTAAGCAGAAGCTGCAGGGTGGGGGTGATTGCACAGTGGAGTAACTCACAACTGCCCGGTTCCTCTGGTTTCCCGATCTCATTAGGCATTGACTTGTAAACACAGAATTACATGAAGGTCACAGTGCTCCTCTGAGTCACACAGGGGCATCTCTATAGAGGGAAATTAACCTGTGTTGAGCACCATGCTAGAACCTTGAAAGGTAGATGGTCTGGTCTCCCTTTTGCACACGAGGAAAGAGACTCAGAGGTTAAGTGACTTATCTCAGGTCACACAGTAAAGAGGGGATAGAGCTAGGATTTAAGCTCAGGTTTGAGGACAAGCTCTGGGCTCTCCCCATCTCCCTCCTAGTGACTTATAAAGTGACTTTGCTGAATTCCTCTTTCTGCTCCTTCCAGGCCAAGAAGAAGTTCTTTGACACAGAGCTGGAGAACCTGGAGCGTCAGCAAAAGCAGCAAGTGGAGAAGATGGAGCAAGACCATGCTGTGCGCCGCCGGGAGGAGGCCAAGCGGATCCGCCTGGAGCAGGAGAGGGACTACACCAAGTTCCAGGAGCAGCTCAAGCTGATGAAGAAGGAGGTGAGTGTATGCTGGGCGGCGGCAGGGTGGTCTAGGAGTACTAGGACTTCTTGGCTGCAAGGGATGGAAACCCCAGTTCACCCACGCCTCAGCAACAGAGGGAGTTTCGGGAGCTCGTTTACCTGAAAAGCTCACGTCCAGTATGTCTGGATCCACGTGCTGCAGCTGCACCATTAGGAGCCACTCCTCCATCACCGGGCTCTGCTTTCCTCTGTGCTGACTTGGCTCCCAGGCAGGCCCTCGCCATGTGGTCTCAGGCAGCTTCCTGTACACCCTCCAGCCTCGCAACCCCCAGCTGAAAGCAAGCGGGGGCGAAGGAAGGATGGCGGCACAAGGGAATTTGAGATGCTGTCACCAGAAGGGGGAGTGGGTGCTGGGTGGGCAAACACACGTCCTCTATGCCCGACCCTCTCTTCTCCCAGAACAGCAGTCCCTGAGTTTCGACCCATGCAACCTTCCCCCTTTCTCCCATCCAGCTGGAAGGGGGAGGTAGCCAAGAGGGAGATGGTCCTGAGACAAGGGGAGGGAGGATGCATAGCTAAAAGCTGCCCTGTGCAAGGGCATCTGGGTCCCAAAGAACAGCCCACACCTCCCTGGGGGAGCCAGACACAAGGAGGCTGGGACACAAGTGCTTTCCTAGACTCTCAGGAGGGCGGAGGGAGACACCCGGAAGCCCTGAAGGCAGTCATACCAATCCAGGCCATTCCCAGTCTCTAGAAGGAGCGGTGGGTGAATAGCTTCTAGGGGTGGTCCACGGTGCAGGGGCCTCAGAGCCCAGCTCCCAGACTTGACTGTGATGGGCTTGGCATTCGGTGTCACCAAGGGGCCTGTGGGAACAGGGCTTGGGTTGGGGTGAGACAAGTGAGGTACTTGCCTTGGGCACAAAATTTAAGGGGGTGCCAAAAAACTCACTAGTCAAGATGAATAATATTCTAATTCAATGTTTCAAAATAAAAATTCGTGCAACATATTCATGATGAACAGAATATCGGCTATTTAAAATAAAAACAGGACCCGACAGGGCCTGGATTGAGGTGAGGCAGTGAGGCCGAGTCCTACAAGTGTAGGGCTGGATCCTGTCTGTATTTAAAACTGTGATATTTTCATGATTTTTTGGCACGAAAATGTTGAGTCTTTACAATGTCATTTATCTTGCCTACGGAGGTTTCTGGCATTCCTTTTGGTGCCTGAGGCGAGTACCTCACTCTCCTTACCCTGGATAGAGGGGTGGAGGGAGAAACTGAGGCTAAGCACATCCCCAGCTCCAGTGCTGGGGACACAGGCTTGGTTTTAGTGAAAGCTTTGGTAGCTTCTTTCAAGGAATTTGTTTCACCTAAGCGGTTCCATTTATTGGCACAAAGCTAATGATAGTATCCCCTTAGTATCCTTTTAATAACTGTGGGGTCTGTAGGGATGTGCTTTTATCCCTATACCGGTCATTTGTATCCTAGTCTCTTCTCCCTTCACCGTCTTCTCTCCCTCCTCCCTCTTCTCTGTCAATCTGGCTAAAGGTTTATTCGTTTTATTGACTTTTTCAAAGAACCAGGTTTTGGTTTCATTAATTTTCTGTTTTCAGTGTTATAGATTTCTGCTTTTATATCTGGTTGGGGTTTAAATTCCTCTTCTTCCTATAGCTTCTTAATGCTGAAGTTTAGTTCACTGATTTGAGACTCTTTTCTGATGTGCGCCTCTGATTGAGCGTGTCTCTCTAAGCAGTGCTTTCGCTTCGTTCCACACGTTCTGATGTGCGGTATCTTCATTTTTATTCAATTCGGATTATCATCTAATTCCTTTGCAAGTTCCTCTTTGATCCGTGGGTTATTTCAAAGTTTGCTTCGAAGTTTAATTTTGAAATGTTTTTAGATTTTCATTTTTCTTCTGTCGACTTATAGTTTAATTTCATTATGATCAAATAACATATTTTTTAAGATTTCAATTTTAAAAAATTTATTTGGATTTGTTTTGTGGCCCAGGATGTGGTCTTATGTCAATGAATATTCCACGTGCACTTGCGAAAGATGTATGTTCTGTTTGGCGAGTGCTCTGTAAATGTCCAGTAGGTCCAGCCGACTGACAGTGTTGTTCGCGTCTTCTCGAGCCTTCTGTGCGTGAGTGTAGCCTTACGCGTTCTCCATCCATCTTTCTGTTGGCTACTGAGGAAGGAGTGTTACTGTCTCCAGCTGTAACTGGGGATTTATCTATTTCTCTTGCAGTTTGTCAGTTTCTGTTTTTGAAGTTCTTCTGTTATTTAATATTCTCCTATCTTTCTAGTGAACTGACCTATGCTTTATTCATTATGTAATGTCCCTCTTTACTGCTGGTAATTCTCCATGTTCTGATGTCTACTGTGACTGATAGCCAGTCCCTACTTCCTACTGATTAGTGCTTTAACAGACTATTTTTTCCCATCCTTTTTTTTAAATATATATTGATTTCAGAGAGAGGAAAGGAGAGGGAGAGAGATAGAAACATCAATGATGAGAGAGTCATCGGTCAGCTGCAGCCCGCAACCCGGGCATGTGCCCTGACCGGGAACCGAACCCCAATCGCCTGGATCCCAGGTCGACGCTCAACAGCTGAGCCACGCCCGGCCGGGCTCCCATACTTTTAATTTAATCTGCCTACATATTTGATGTTGGTTTGCGGACAGCATACAGTTGGCGCTGATTCCCTGTTAATTTTCTCAGGCAGACCCCTCCAGGGTGGCCCACCTTGGCCCCCATCCTCCCAGCTCAGCGGTCCCAGGGCCAGAGCGCAGCTTTTCCCTGAGAGTCCCCGCAAACACCTTGAAATTCTCACTGGCCCAGTGAGGGTCACATGTTCCCTGCACCGGCCCTCAAGGCCAGGGTGTGGAACATGCTGACTGACAGCCTGGGTCGGATACGCAGCCTAGAGCCAGCTGGGGTTGGTGCGTCGGCCCCACCTGCAGCTCAGGAACTGCGGAGGGTGCCTGAAGCATGCATCTCTGCCGGGTGATACCACAGTTAAAATCCCCTTAGATATTATAATGGCTTAACAGGTTGACAGATTAATATTTTGGGGGTGGATGATTAGGAAAAAGATGCCTAAAGGGCTTCTGAGGGGACAAGAATGAAGAAGGGGTTAAGAAATGCCGCCCTAAAGAAAACTGAGTTGCTGTTATCAGAAGAAGGGGGCTGGGTACCAAGCAGCAGAAACAGTACCTGTCAGCCTCGGGGGAGTCTCGAAACTGAGTCGGCAGTCAGTGGGCCAGCAGGTGCCACCTGTCAGAGTGGCTTGGTGGAGAGTGGAGTTGGGGGCCAGTGCCTCATCTTCGATGTCCCTGGCCTCGGAGTTAGAGGGTGTGAGGTGGTATCCTGACCCAGCCACTCTCTGCAGGTCAAGAACGAGGTGGAGAAGCTCCCCAGGCAGCAGCGGAAGGAGAGCATGAAGCAGAAGTTGGAGGAGCATGCACAAAAAAAGCAGCATCTTGTGAGTCTTTGCTCCTCACTCGGGGAGTTAGAGGGGCTCGGGAATCCCAGGTTTGAGACCCTGAATGGTGACCGGGTCCCCTCTCTGTGTCCATGCCCTACCCCTTGAACACCTTTCTATTTTCAGTACCTAAATCCAGCCTATCCTCTTGTCATCCGTTATCACCTCTCCCATGCAGCCTTCCTTGATTGCCCTCACTCCTGCTGGAAGTGAGCTCTCCCATCTCTGGACACCTCTCCCAAAGCCTTTGTTTTAGGGTCATTTGTATGTCACATCGTGACCAACCCAGCACATTCATCTGTCCACCTGACATCTTTTGGAGTCTAAAAGACATCCAACCATGATCTCCCAGACCTGGTCCTGTTCTTGTGTTTTGAAGGGGCACCATTCTGCAACCGGTTGTCAGGCCAGAAACCTTGTCATTCCCGACACCTCCTTGCCTTCCAGTCCTTCATCACCTCCTGAAGCATGGTTTTAAAAAAAATCTCCAAACTCTCTCTAGATCCATCAACTTGTCCACATCTCTGTGATCCCTTAGCCACTGTCATCTTTTGCCTGAACTACTACAGCCTCCTCTCAGCCAGTCTTCCTGCTTCCTCTCTTATTCCTCTGCAGTTCTGTCACCAGCAAGTGTGATCCTAACACCCTCCACCCACAGCCCTGTGCCTTGAGAACCTTCAGTGGCCCCCCCTTTGTCCATAAGTTAAGATCAGCCTCCTTATTTGCTTACGAGACCCTGCAGGGCTGGCCCCTGCCAGCCTCTCCCCCGACTCAGTCCTGTTTCCCCAGCCTCACCAGCCTCTTTCCATCCCTGCTGGAACGCTCTCATTTTCTGCCACTGTCGAGTCTGCACAATCTGCTTCCTCTGCCCCAAATGCGGAGAAATTGAGAGTCAACATTTACAAATGCTTTGTATATGACCTGGTTTAGCATTCATCGTCCTCTTTGCAGAGGAGGGAATTACAGCTCAGAGAGGTTACACTGCAGAATTAACAGTGGGGGCTGAGGCCCAAACTTAGTCTGACTCCAGAATTCATGTTTTCTCCAGGACACCGTCACACTTTGCCACAACCTGTCCCTTGATGCTATGATTAGAAGAAATGCAGGGCTGGGGAGGGTGGGAGAGAGACGCCCGAATCCCCACAAAGAGACAGAATATTGACCCTTTCTTTGGGAGGGCAATCTGGCAGTTATATCAAGAGCCTCAAAATGTGGTCCATCAATACAATGGATTATTCAGCCTTAAAAAGGAAGGAAATTCTGATACATGCTACCACATGCTAGGCACATCTTTTGGCCTGGATTTTCTGCTTCTAGAGACTAATCCTGAGGATTAATCATCACAGAGGCTCATGGACAGTTAGCTACCAGAGTGTGAAGAGTGGCATGATCTAAAATAGGGAAACCTGGAAACAACCTGTTGTATACTGGGTAAATAATTTAGGGTATAGCCTTACCATAAAATAGTTTCAGCCACTAAAACGCATTTGATACAGTAATACAAAGGTCTTTTAAGTAATTTTTAAAAACTGTGGTAAAACAGAAATATAAAATTGCCATCATAACCGTTTTCAAGTGCACAGTTCAGTGGCATTAAGCACATTCATACTGTTGTACAATCATCACCACCATCCATCTGCAGAACTCTTGTCATCTTGTAAAACCAAAACTCTATATGTATTAAACACTAATTTCTCATTCCTCCTCTCCACAGTCCCTGGCACCCACCATTCTACCTTCTATCTACAAATTTGACCTCATATAAGCGGAATCATACAGTATTTGTTTTCTTGTGCCTGGCTTATTTCACTTAAACGTAACATCCTCAAGATTCATTTATGTGGTAGCATGTATCAGAATTTCCTTTCTTTTTAAGGCTGAATAATCCATTGTATGGATGGACCACATTTTGTTTATCCATTCATCTGTCTTAGTACACTTGAGTTGTTTCCATCCCATGGCTATTATGAATAATACTGCTATAAACACGGGTGTACAAATTTCATGTATCTCTAAATAAATAAACACAATACCATAAACACCCCAAAATTCAAATATTTCACAATAGTTTCTTAATAACATCATTTGCAGTCAAATCATTATTCACATTTCCAGTTGTCTCATAAATATTTTTATTTTTGTTTGTTGTTTGAACCAAGGTCCATACAAAGCCCACATATCACTATTGGTTGCTCTGTCTCTAAGTCTCATTTCCCTTCTGTACATTCTCTAAGTTTTCTTTGGGGTCACAATTACTTTTATTTTGTAATAAGAAAAGCTGAGACACCAAAGCCAGCACTGAGTAGAGGTCTGTCCTCCCTGCTCCCCCCAGGACCGAGACTTCCTAGCCAAGCAGAAGGAGGACCTGGAGCTGGCGATGAAGAGGATCACGGCTGACAACAGGCGGGAGATCTGTGACAAGGAGCGCGAGTGCCTCACTAGGAAGCAGGAGCTCCTTCGAGGTGGGTGCCCAGGAGCGGGCGGGGCCACAATGGCCCAGAGTCTGTCAGTGGCCATCCCAGGCTTGGGCAAGAAAGAGCTGCTGGGCCTTCTCCATCCTAAAACTAACCATCATCCTTTGTGGTAAAACGTGAGGAAAATCCCCACTGAAGTCAGTAGCCAGGCAGCGATACCAGTTATCAACACTGACGTTATTCCAGATGTCAAGGGGGAAACAAGGAGGTGATGCAGAACGGGTGGAAACTGTAAGTGAGCTGGGTTAAGGGGGTGGCAGGGGGTGTGGACAGCATTGGAGCCTTTTATAACAGCTGTCCTCTACTGAGTGACTGCTCTGCCAGGCCATTTTCGTATGTTAATCTCACCGAATCCTCACCTTCCCCCTATAAGGCATGCAAGGCAGGTCCCACTGCTCTCCCGACTGTTCCTCTCAGATGGGGAAACTAAGGCTTAATTAGCGAGTAACTGTTCTTTGGCCGAGGTAACGCAGTTAATGAAGGGTAGGGTTGGCCTTGAATGCAGATCTCACCTTGAAGCTGAGCTCTTTACTCTGGTGCACTGGTGTTTTGACAGGTTTGCATGCTGGTGAGTCCCTTACAGCATGAGACCTTCTAGGGACAACAGTGTGGGCCACCACCCAGAGGGATGAGGCAGGGGGAACACCTGGGGAAGAAGGGGATCAGAGATGGTGTGCACATGCCGGGCTGATGTCATTCAGCTCCCTGGGGAGCCCAGATGGGGAGTCTCTGGTTTAGAGAGCTCTGAAGGGCAATTCTCCCTCCATGGTATGGTTGTGCCCATTTGGCAGAAGTGGAAGCTGAAGCCTGGGGAGGTCTTTTTACCCCTCCAACATATCAGTAATGGAGCTGGGTTCCAGCCTACGTCTCGGTTTCTCTGGCTCCTGACTCCGAATGTCTTGCTGTAGCACGCTCTCGTCCTGTAGGTATTAAGGAAGTTTCTAGGAGCTGGCTCAGTCAGCTCCCCCAACAGTCTAATGAGGTGGCACAGTTACCAGCTTGTGAGGAGGCCTGGCGCAGGGGAGGGTGAGGCCCTGTGGGACTCTGGCCATCAGCAGCTCACCGGGCGGTGTGTTCTCCATAGACCGGGAGGCGGCCCTGTGGGACATGGAGGAGCATCACCTGCAGGAGAGGCACCAGCTGGTGAAGCAGCAGCTCAAAGACCAGTACTTCCTCCAGCGGCACGAGTTGGTGCGCAAGCATGAGAAGGTGAGGCTACGGACAGGGCAGGGGACTGCCACCAGGAGACCTAGGAGAGTGTAAGGCCGTGCCGTGATGGGGTACCACTTGGCTACCATCCGTACTCCCAAGAAGAGTAAGGGGCCAGGAATAGGGGAAACCATGCAGGGAAGTGATGGCCCCAGCAGCTCCTTCATTGACTCTGACACCTGGCTGTGTCCCTTTCATGCTTTTCTATTTCCCCTGTCTTTTTGTCCTGCCTTTCTCCTTTGTCTCTTTCCCTTAGATTCCTTCAGAATACTTTTAGGTATCCACTTAAACACCACTTCTGCCGGGAAGCGTTCTCTAACTTCCCCAGATCAGGTGAGGGCCCCTGCTCTGTGTGGCCAGAGCACCCTCTACTTCTGTGTAATCGTCTGTCTCAGTTTAGTCCCCTTTGTGGGAACACAGACAGATAACTGAGGTCTAGCTGCACAGCTGGCATGGGTAATTCCAATTCCTAACCTAAGCTGCTGTGGTGGCTCCGAATAAGGGTGCCCAACGCTTCTAGGAAGTCAGGGGAGGCTTCCTGTAGGAGGTGACTCCTGTGCTGAGTTTTGAAATACAGCTAGGGTTAGTTGAAGGAAAAATTTAAATTTATCAAGACTTTTTAAAATATGAATTGAAAACTGCCATCAAAATGGTAAACCATCCATTTTAGTGTACATTTGGCTTTGAGATACGAGCTTATAATGGCCCGCCACTGATTAGATGAGAGGACATTTAGAAGAATCCACATGTTATTAACAATAATTTTTAAAGTAAAAACAGAAACGTTCCTTAACAGTAGAAGTGAAGTGATGCAGCCTTGCTCTGCTGAGCATTCTGGGTCACATGGGTCCTGGGCTCCTGACTGAGTGTGCCCAGAGCGCAGCTGATCTCAGCCCCGGCTGGCTGTTCCCCTCCAGGAGCGGGAGCAAATGCAGCGCTACAACCAGCGCATGGTGGAGCAGCTGAAGGTGCGGCAGCAGCAGGAGAAGGCGCGGCTGCCAAAGATCCAGAGGAGCGAGGGCAAGACGCGCATGGCCATGTACAAGAAGAGCCTGCATATCAGTGGGTCGGGCAGTGCCGCCGAGCAGCGCGAGAAGATCAAGCAGGTAGGGTCTATGGTGAACTAGAATGCGTGCAGGCCCAGGTTTGGGAACATAAAATAGAAGGTGCAGCAGAGGGTCTTGGAAGGAGGTGTGCAGGTCACAGCCCGGAAGCCTCATAACCTCACAATGACCCCTCTCTGGTGGAAGTGGAAGCATGGCAAAATTTTCTCATGCCCTGTTCCCTCACACTGTGGTGCTCTATCCTGCAGCTTCCTCTGCTGCTAAACCCCATCTTCTCATCCACCAAGACCCCACTCTCTTGCCACCAATATGGCTTAGAGACTTGGAGTCACTCCTATGACTCCTGCATGGTACACACACCTACCTAGCGCATGTCACAGCACAGTGTCATGTTCCCACCAGCCTCGAGGTCAGGGCCTGGGTGTCAGTCAGCTCAGGGGGAGGACTTAAAATGGGGGGCACAGCCTGAGTGGTATGGGGTACTGGTCCCTCTGATGGGGCCTCCCTGGGACAGGGCTGAGGTGGGCTCCCAGCCCAGCCCGAGGCCTCTGAGGCACCCACCCTCTCTCTCTTGCAGTTTTCCCAACAAGAAGAGAAGAGGCAGAAGTCGGAGCGGCTGCAGCAGCAGCAAAAACATGAGAACCAGATGCGGGACATGTTGGCACAGTGCGAGAGCAACATGAGTGAGCTGCAGCAGCTACAGGTACAACCTTCTGTGGCCCCCCATAGCCTCAGTTTTCCCCAAGGCAGCCAGCTCAGGGGCAAAGACTCTACCAATAGGGAAGCCTTCTCGTCCGACAAGCCCAGGGTGGAAGGGCTTCAAACACACTGTGCTACATAATGTTGGCCATACTGTGGGCCAAATCACTTCACCCTCCCAAGCCATAGTTTCCACATCCATAAAATGGGTGTAGGGCGGGGTGATAAGTCCTATTTTGCAGGATTGGAGTAAGGCTTTGAAATGAGCTGAAAGTGCCTTGCCCAGGGCCTTGCAGTGGACATGATGTTAGATTTCTCAGTCATCACTGTGTTTTGGGAAAAGGTGTCCCAATTACCCTAATACTAAAACCAGACACAGACAAGAAAGGAAAACTACAGACCAGTATCTCTCGTGAACACAGATGCACAAATCCTCCACAAAATACTATCAAATTGAGTCCTACAATGTATAAGAATTATACATCATGACCAAGTGGGATTTATCGCAGGCTGGTTCAACATTTGACAATTAATGTAGTCCATAACATCAACAGGCTAAAAAAGAAAACTCACCTGATCAGATGCAGAAAAAGCATTTGACAAAAGCCAACACCCATTCATGATAAACACTCTCAGCAAACTAGGAATAGAGGGGAACTCCCTCAACTTGACAAAGAACATCTACAAAAACCTAGAGCTCACATCACCTTTAATGGGGAGAAGCTCAAAGCTTTCCCACTAATATCAGCACAAGGTATCCTGGTGTTGCCAGGCCCTTTGGTGGCCCCTTTCCCAAGGGAGATCCTGGACCTCCAGTACCTCCAGTTTCCTGGCTCCTGAGTTTGCCCCACCACAGGAGCTGGTGCTTAGAGTCCCCTTGTGGTGGAGTGAGGCATTGTCATAGTGAAGGAGACTCAAACCTCTGTGACCTTAGGACATTGCTCAGGCTATTGGATCCATCTGGCAATTTCTGGAGAGTCAGGGAGGGACAGAGGAAACATTATAGGCATTGAGGCCTGCTAGGTTGGGGCTTTGCCCTTTGCTGCTCTGTGAATTTTAGCCAAGCCGCTCACCTGCATCTGTTTTCCCATTCCCTGCCTCATGGGGTTACCATGAGGATTAACTGTGAAAACCCACATAGAATGCTGGGCACCTGGATTCTAGTAGATCACAGGTACACAGTGCTGCTGTAAGTATGATTCTAACTAAACCAATTTCTAAACTCCTAGAACCCTTGAGCTTGAAACCCCAAAATAAAAATTCCTCCCCAGGGGCACTTATGGTCAAGATGGTGGAGTAGGTAAATGTGCTCACCCCCCACGACCACATCAAAATTATAGAACAGCTATGAAAACCACCTAAGGATTAGCTGAACAAAAGTCCTACAATTAAGGATCTAAATAAGCCACATGAGACTGTGGAGGGGTGGAGACATGGAGCAGGTAGGTCCCACACCCATGGTTTGGCAGTTAGGAATCAGGAAGGATGTCTCAGCTGCAGAGATCCCCCCTGAGGAGAGATGGGATCCTACCCCCACAATGGGCTCCTCAGCCCAGGGCTGGGAAGAGGAGTCCACATAATATCTGGCTGTGAAAACCAGCAGGGAATGCATCTGAGTGTGGCTGTTGAACACCAAAATAGAAACAATCCAATTAAAAAATGGGCAGAGGACCTGAATAGACATTTCTGTCAAGAGGGCATACAGATGGCCAACAGGCATATTAACAGATGCCCAACATCACTATTCGTCAGGGAGATGCAAATTAAAACCACAATGAGATATCATCTCACACCTGTCAGAATGGATCATCAATAAATGAACAGACAGTAAGTCTTGGTGAGGATGTGGAGAAAAGGAAACCCTTGTGCACCATTGGTGAATACAAATTGGTGCAAACACTATGGAAAACAGTATGGAGGTTCCTCAAAAAATTAAAAATTGAACTACCATATGACCAGCAATTGCACTTCTGGGTATTTATCCGAAGAATCCCCAAACACCAATTCAAAAAGATATATGCACCCCTATGTTCATTGCAGTATTATTTACAATAGCCAAAAACAGAAGCAACCTAAGTGTCCATCAGTAGATGAATAGATAAATAAGATGTGGTACACATATACAATGGAATATTACTTGGCCATAAAAAAAGAATGAAATCTTACCATTGTGACAACACGGTTGGACCTACAGGTTACTATGCTAAGTGAAATAAATCAGACAGAAAAGACAGTACCATATGATTTCACTTATATGTGGACTCTAAAAAACAAACAAAATAGAAATAAACTCATAGATACAGAGAACTGATGGCTGCAAGACAGGAGAGGAGATGGGTGAAAAAAGTGAAGTGATTAAAAAGTACAAATTAGCAGTTATAAAAATAGTCACAGTGATTTAAAGTACAGCATAGAAAATATAGTCAATAATATTCTAGTAACTGTATATGGTGTCAGGTTCAAGACTTATGGAATGATCACTTCGTGAGTTATATAAATGTCTAATCCCTACATTGTACACCTGAAACTAATAAAATATTGTATGTCAACTATAGTTGAAAAAACTTAAGAAAATTTTTAAAAGTCACCCAAGGGGTTCCACTCTTCCAACCCAATACGGTTGAGGTATCTGGATAAAGGCACTGCCCCCTGCTTTATAAGCTCCTTAGAAACCATAAGATTGATTCCTCAAGAGGAATCAAGAAGGACTTGTCACTGTTGCCTGTGAGATACTACAGGTAAGTTTTGTGAGGCAGACAACTTGTCTCAGAGCGAAAACAGTGAGGTTGTGAGAGCCTCAGCCAGGTTCATGGCCCTCACCCCTTGCCACAAAAATCTATCCTGACAAAATGACATGCAATGCAGAAAAATATGTAATTTATATAAATATAACTATTTATGAACACAGATTATCTTAGTTAGCTCAGGCTGCTAAACAACAGAAGTTTCGTTTTCTCACTGTTCTGGAGCCTGGAAGTCCAAGGTCAGCTGGTCAGTGTGGTTGGAGTCTGGTGAGGCCTCTCTTCCTGGCTTGCAGACGGCCACCTTCTCGCTGCGCCCTCACACGGCAGAGAGAGAGAATGGGCAAGCCCTCTGGTGTCTCTTCTTACAAGAGTATTAAATCCATCAGGAGGGCCCCATCCTCTTGAAGTCACCTGAATCTAATTACCTCCCAAAGGCCCACCTCAAATATAATCACATTGAGGATTAGTGCTCCAACATTTGAATTTTGGGGAGACACAATTCAGTCCATAGATAGATGTTTAACACAGTGCTAAAGAGTGAAAATTAAGAGCAACCTAAGAGCCAAAAATAAGGAATATTTAAATAAATTTGATGGATCCATATTGTGGGAGGTTCTGTAAGCACTAAAAATTAAAAATGACTATGAAAACATTTTTTTATAGAAATATTTACATTATAATGTTAAGCAGGTTTCAGAACTGTATATATATAGGGTAAGCCAAACAATATACAGGATGGAGCCTGACAGGAAATGTAGCTAATTTTTTGTAGTGGTTGCCTCTGTTGCCTCAATTCCTTCACAATGACATTAGGGCACATAATTATATTGTTTTTTTATTGTTTTGGAGTTGAAAAACTCAAACAATGCACAAGGCAGAAAGTTGCAAAATTACTGGAGATCCCACTACACAATAAGAAATATTAACATTAATATTCTGAAATATTCCCCCAGGCACCTCGTGGTACATTATATATTTACTTGTATGGAGTTTTCTATAAACGGGGTTTATAATCAAGGAGAAGAAACAATGACAGAATGATGCCACTGTCCGTGTGGCTACAGCATGAGGTATGTCTCAGCCTTCAGCCTTCTGAGTTTCTTACCTGGTCTGCCTGGAATTTGTTCCAGAATGAAAAGTGTCACCTCCTGGTAGAGCATGAAACCCAGAAGCTGAAGGCCCTGGACGAGAGCTATAACCAGAACCTGAAGGAATGGCGGGACAGACTTCGGCCACGCAAAAAGGTAACCACATCTGGGCTGGTGTGCTTAGTGGTAGGCTCTGCTCCATGTTGTGCCACAGGTATCTGCCTAGGACACATTTATAGATTTATTTTAAGGAACTGGCTCACACAGTTGTAGGGGTTCATAAGTCTGAAATCTGCAGGGCAGGTTACATCAACTCAGGGAAGAGTCGATATTGAGCCCTAGAGTAGTCTGGCAGCAGAATTCCTTTTTCCTTAGGGTGCCCTCAACTGATTGGATGAGGCCCACCCACAATAGAGAGGGTAATCTGCTTTACTCAAAGTCTACAGAGTTAAATGTTAATTACATTTAAACAATTCCTTCACAGTAACATCTAGACTGGTGTTTAACCAAAATGGGTAACATGGCCTTGCCAGGTTGGCAAATAAATTAACCACCACAGAGTCTCAGTGTGGTCACTTGTAAAGTGGAGACATGAATATTGTACAGTGTTATGCGAAAAGTCACCAACCCATAGTGTAGGCCAAAGACATACTCATTTCCTTACACTCTACTAAATTCTGAGGAGAGCACTGTTCTGATTACCCTTGGTGACATGTCCGGAAGCCCTGAGGTTTGTTCTGCCAACGCATCAGCTTGGCCTGCTGTAACTGTGGTCTGGACAGCAGGCAGCTGCCTACCTCAGCCATGGCCTTGGAAGTCCTTGAGTTGAGGCTTCCCTCCCTGTGCTAATAGAGCTTTCTGGCTGGAAGCTGGCCAGGGTCCCAGAACTTTCTTTTAGCAGGCTCATGCCCCATCAGTTTCTGTAACTACAGCCTGCTCGGACTTTTGATACTTGACACTCAGATCAGTAATGCTCCTGCTGACATAGGTTGACTCTGGCATAGGAAATAAATATTAACCTGCTCTCTTACCTGGGGGTTCTATATACCCTTGGCACATCCTGAGAGTTCGAAAGGAATGATTACGTTGCCTCTAGCAACTGCCTTATATCCCAGATTGCTCCATGGGGATACCTGGGCTTAGGGGAGATACTGCAAGTGTTGTGTTTGGGGAGTGGGCACTGCATTTTGCTGAGGTGGCTGCCTCTGCAGAATTCCCTGTAGAATTGTTCAATCATTAGCGACCTGCGTTGCTGCTAGAACACTGATCCAGAGGTGATTTTCATTCTGGAATAAATGTGCTTTAACTCTCTTGCATTACAGTCAGCAGCCTTGTGCTGCTGTGTATGGGGGCAGAGGAGGTGACTGTGCATTGTGCAATATTTTTAGAAAAATTTAGGTTTTTTTCAGGTAAGTACAGAATATCTTGTAGGGTCAAATGAAGTGTTGCTTAGGTCATAGTTAACACAGAACATGGCCTCGGACAAGTCAGGTGTTTCCTCCTGAACCTTGCTGTTTTTTGGGGCTGTGAAATGTGAATAACATGTAGTCCCTTAAAGCTGGTGTTTGTAAGCTACTGCCCATGGGCCAAATCTGGCCCAGCACCTGTAATTGAAAGTAAAGTTTTATTGGAACATACATATAGCTATGTATGTTCATTTATATATTGTCTGTGGTTGATTCTGCACTATAGCCACAGTGAAGTTGTGACAGAGACCTTAGAGCCTGCAAAGCCAAAAATATTTACAATCTGACCCTTTATAGAGATAGGATTGCCATCTCCTGTCCTAGGTTATATAGAGGAATAGATGTGGTTGGTAGAATAGGGTAGTATTTAAAGCACAGGCTTTGGAGTAAGAGTCATGTGGGATAAAGTTCTAGCTCTCCATAACTACCTGTGCAAGTTATTAAACCTCTCTGTGGTGGTTATTATAATTAAATTGGTATTCCTATAGCAGAAATCCCAAATTGATGGCCTGTGGGCTGAAAATGGCTTACAGACGTTAGGTTTGGCCAATACATAGCAACTTAAATTTTTTTGAAAGTTACCAGCTAAGTTTTACATAAAAATCTGGATTTTGCCCTAGCTAAGTAGCTCAGTTGGTTAGTGTTTACCCGATACAGTTCGATCCCTGGTCAGGGCACATACAAGAATCAATCATTGAATGCATAAATAAGTGGAACAGATTGATGTTTCTCTCTTTCTCCCACTTCTCTCTCTCTAAAATCAATCAATAAAATATATATATATTTTTAAATGTTTTGTTTTTGTGTTTTTTTTTTAATATATCTTCATTGATTTCAGAGAGAGGAAAGGAGAGGGAGAGACAGACATAGAAACATCAATGATGAGTCATTGATCGAGCCCTCAACTGGGCATGTGTCCTGACCGGGAATCGAACCCTGATCACCTGGATCCTAGGTCAACGCTCAACCGCTGAGCCACGCCTGGTCGGGCAATAAAATATTTTTTTAAATCTGGATTTCCAGTTTCTTTTGAAAACCCAGGAGTTCTAACAACACTGGACGCATCAAACTACATGACAGCCATTAGTTGGAACTGAGAAAAACTGCCCTCTTCAGACATAGCATGTGCTCTTCACATCACCACAGTCCCCAACACTCCTTAATGCCTCAAAGCCAGCTCTCTTCACTCATTTAATCATCTGGCTGGCTCCCATAGGCACTGGGTTTTGTAACCCCTGTTACAGGAGTTTAAACAGTTCTACTTTTGCATCTATGTTTGCTTGCCACAAAAGATTTCATATTAAATACATCCAGTAAAGGAGAACTTGAGCCAAGAGTCTGTGTGAATTACTAGAAATTTCAAATCATTCACGTCCAAGCAAGATAAGGCACGACTTCAAATACCTGGCCTTCCCTTGTATGGATGTCCTATAAAAGGAAAAATTGGTGTTATGATTCAGTGTTCTTTCTCAGCATTCTTTAGAGGTAGAAAGAACTCACTAGAATTTAGTACTATTGAAGGAACAGGAGCTTAAAGGGGGGATTCTGGTAATTAAGTTATTTGTTAAGTAGAGACTATTTCAGGGCATCCAAAGAATTGTCTTAAAAAAGAGATAGTAGAATGCTGGTCAACTCCTGTGAACATAGATACTTCTATAGGAAAAATAAGGAAAGCCGGTCAATGGTTAAATACCTCTTTATAATGAAGCCACATTAACTGAACAACCCTTGTGTGCCCGGCTTTGAAGATGCAGCACAGTGTTTCAGAGCATGAACTCTTTAATTAGCTAGCTGAGTGGCCCTGGGCAAGTGACCCAAGCTCTCTGAGCCTCAGTTTCTCCATCTTTAAGATGGGGATAATAGTATCTACCTCCATGTGAAGATGCGATGTAATGCACAGAGCATAGTGCCTGATGTATGGGAACTACTCAGTAATTATGATCTATTAGTTTCTCATTTAATCTTACAACAGCCCTGCTAGGCAGGGAGGGATACTGCCTTGTTACAAAGAAACAGACTCAGAGAGGAAAGGTAACATGCAAGGCACACAGCTGGTAATGGTAAAGCTGAATTCTTCCTGACTAGAACCCTCAAGAAATTTTTCTGGTAGGATCCAACCTGTCTAGATGAACTTGCGTGTACCCAGGGGAAGCTTATGCAGTGCTCATCAACTAGACGCTCCCCTCCATTGTTTCGTGTTCTTTTACTACATGGAGAGCCTCTATCTACCATCAGTTTTGAGAAATGGAAGCTCAGGGGTGGGTGACAGCACATGTACGAAAAAACCCTCTATTTTGTGACCTCGCTTTAATGGACTTAGGATTTAGTGGACAACATTTCTGGTCCATATGTCCTATGTGAAAATAGACACCCTATTAATTTTAAAATGCTTTTTACCAAGATTTGCTTATAATTAAATTAACAGGTTATATTTTATTATTAATTCACTGTTATTTTTAACAAATTTGAGGGAATAGGTCATATGTTGGGAAAAACACTGTAGTAATTTCGCCAACATAAATAAATACTACATATCTAAAACTATAGTCTACATATTTAAATCCAAGAGTCACTACTCGTAAACAATGTTCAGTGAACGATTAACACGTGATCATACCGCATCAAGTACAGTAATTGGTTCTGTTGTCAGTGGCATGACTTTCTGCAGCAGTTTTAACGAATGCAGGCTGATATTGCCCTGAGCGCTAGGCCAGGTCCCAGCTGAGTACATTTGTTTACTCCCAGTGAGTGGTGAATGCACTCATTTACTAGACCTATTCAGTATAAATTTAAAATTACAGTAATACATATAGAAAACTTTTCTGTGAAATTAAACTTTCCATACATACTTAATTTTAATTATACAAACGTGTCTACATAAGTAAAAACAGGTAAACTGATTTTTTAACATATGCATGCAGAAAAACCTATTTTATTATATAATGAACTTTTGGCTTTAACGGACACCCCCTCACCCAAATTAGTCCGTTATATCAAGGTTTTACTATATTTTGAAAACAACTGCCTGGGTGATTTCTGTGGGACAGGGCCCTGGTTGGGACACTGTATAACTCAGTCATTTCTGCTCCCCTGCTATTAAATCTCTCTCCCCACTCTCTACCTCCGGCTTTTCTCCACTTGTCTGGCTGTTTTTCTGCCAGCAGATTTGCACCTGCTTTCCCCCCACCCCACGTGGATAGGCATTGCCCCAAACTGAAGCCTTTGCCTCACGGGAAACTTCTATATGGCTGTAGCAGAAGGAAGGAGGAGCTGGTGCTTACTTTCTGGGTGATGAGCTGTGGGGAAGGAAAGAGGGAAGACGGAATTACCCAAGCACGAAGGCCTGGGAGGGACATTTCTAGACAAGGCCACTTCGGTGGGGTCCTGAGGTTGGGAGACCTGTGTCCTACGGAATCTGCCTGAGCTCCATCTACCCTCTCTCTGTCCTAGGCTCTGGAAGAAGATCTGAACCAGAAGAAGCGGGAACAGGAGATGTTCTTCAAACTGAGTGAGGAGACTGAGTGCCTGAACCCTACTACCCCAAACAAGGCCACCAAGTTCTTCCCCTACAGCTCTGCGGATGCTTCCTAACAGCCACTAGGGGCTGTGGCTGGCAGGTTGGCGGGCCTCCGGGCTCTGCCATTCTCTGTGAACAAGTAACTCAGGACCCCTTCCCTCTTGCTTCAATGCCAGCTCAAATCCAGCCCCTTGCCTGTGCAACCCCAGTGTTCCTGATTTTTCACTCACTTGCGGAGGGTGAGGTTTTACTGTGTGTCAACTAATCTTAATATATGTTCTCTTTGAAGCCCAGGTCCCTTCAAGCTGTCAGTGATTTGGGTTGAGGGTGGGGCCAGGGTCTAAGAGGAATGAGCATTCTGTAGCCTCGAGGCCCCTCCTATTTGCCAAAACACCAGTTTTTGCTGTCTATGGGTGCAAAGTGCTGCAGCTGAAGTTACCGTGGGCTCGTCCATATACTGTAATTCTTGGTGGCTTTTCAGCCATTGCCTTGCAGTGTCAGACAAGAATCACGGCTCCAACAGCGATCTACTCAGGAGGTGCCCTCATTTCTCCAGTTCCCCCAATTTGCTTTCATGAGACCATGTCTACAATGGGGGAGAGCCAGAATTGTTCACTCTGCGGGTCTCAGGTGTTTCGTGCCATCTTGTGTCCCCCAACCCCCCTTCCTGCACAGTCACATACAGAGGGCTTGGGTCCTTGGCACTACCCAGGCTTGCCACCACTCTGGGCCTCTTGTGCCAGGTGGGTTGGAACACATTTGCTGCCTGAGCCATCGAGCATGGTAGGTGGAGCAATGGTAGGGGTGTGCTGGGTACTGGAACCAGAGGCACCTGATGGCACAGGGTGAACAGTCTGTGATTCCTTTTTGCCCCCACGTGGTAGCCTGTGTTCAGGGATAAATTCCTCATCACACAGCACTTCCACAACCCAGTCTCTTTCCATCTCACACTTGCCCAGGTGATATGGGAAGGCTGTCTCCCTCTGCACTGTGCCCCTCGTTGTTCAGGAGTCTGCCTTACACTTCAGACAGAGGCTGGCAGTCACTGAAACTTTTGTTCAGGAAGCAAAAGCATGAGGGAGAAGCAATATGCTTCCTGCCCCCGGGAACATGGCAGAATCCTGGACCTTTGGGTCATCAGATTCTGACCCCCAAAGCTGCAGTGTTGTTAACCCAACGAAAGCAAATGTTCAAACTGGCATTTGGTTTATTTACAAAGAAAACTTTTTTCACCTTGATTCGTAACTTGAAAAAATATAAGTGGATGGCTTCTTTAGGAAGATAGCTGCTTTATAGAAACAAGACAGAAAACTGAAGGTGATTTTGAGAAATCAATGGGCACACTGAGTCTGGGCACTGTTTTGCTGGCGATAGAGTAGCTGCCACACCCCGGGAGGACTTTCTCCTCCTTCGTTCCTTATGGTCAGGTTCAAAGCTTTGTCTTTCTAAAGCAAGTCCCTGGAAGTCTTGGCACTGGCTATAATCCTCCTCTCCTGGATCTTGCAAAGGGAGGGCAGCCATTCAAAAAGAGAAGGGACTTGGGGTTCCCAAGACTTACAGATGCTGTAAAGATGCTCTGGAGGCCATGGGAAGGTGGCGGTCCTCTTAGGTTGGTGAGCATGCAGCTTGCCTGCTTCAGTATTTGACCCAGATGGGACACCTGTCAGGTATCAACAAATGAGACAAGTGAAACAATTGTCCCTTTTGATTCTCTCAGGTGCACAGGTGCTAGAAAATGCGAACCAGCAACAGTGTAACTACAGAGCATTGACCCAGTTCCATCAGGGGAGGCCAGCACTGGCGAATGGTCAGGCAGGGCTGTTCTGGGCTTGTTTATAACACATTACATTTTGCAGCCTGGGGTGTGAGAGTATTAGGTGAAAAGCCGGTTTTATGGCTCAGGCAAGGCTTTGGTCCTTGTCTTACATGGCTTGTCATTCACATTGGAACCTTGTTCAAGGAGTTGCTGCTTCCCCACTCAGTGATGCCCGAGCCCTAATAGGTCCCCTGTTCCTTGTGGATGGGATCTGGTTGGGTCTTCCAGCCTCACGATTGAGCCAGTGTGCAATGCCCATCACCGAGAAGGCCCACACAGTGTTCCTCGTGCCCTGTGCTAATGCTTCCTCTGTAAGGGACAGACAAAACTGTTCCTCACTTTCAGTCAATGTACGGCAGAGTAAATATAACTAACTTATATTTTCCCTTTATGAAGGATAGAAATTATTTTTATGTAGTATCCAAACTTTATACAAGACTTTTGTAAAATATTCTCTGCAAAGTTAACTGCAAGAATGTAAATATGCTTCTAATAAAATAACAAGGGGAGAAACTATTTGCTTTTGGGGTTGTTCTCTTGGGCTGGGGTGGAAAAAGCAGGGCACACTTATCCACATTTGCCAGACAAAGTGTTTACTACCTTCTGAGTACACCGGTGCCTCCCAGGTTATCCAGCAGGTCTGACTTTGGGGTTTCTGTTCTGAAAGAAGTTACGCCTGGCTGTGTGTGTGGGTGTTCTCTTTACAGACATTTACTATTAATCTCATTTAACAACAAACATTGAATCCTATCAACAACCCATGAGGAAGACATTGTCATCTCCATTTTATAGATGAGGATATGGAAACTCAATCAGTTTTGCTGAGAACAAAGTACTGGGAACCAACTGACCCCTAAAAGTTTTTTTTATATAGTCACTAGAGAAATTCACTTTCTCAATTTCTGGGAGCATACAAAAAATTTTTACCAAGATTTATTAAATGAATATTAATTATACCTGTGCAGCAGAGTAATCCTATTTAGCGAATTCTACTTCATTTCTTTGTCTAGGCATACAGGAAGAGTACATCTTCTAGCATCCCTTCCAGCTTCTTAGGACTGTGTGATTAGGCATTGACTAATAAATAGTGAGCAGGAATGATGTTCTGAGATAAGGCAGTTAATAGCTGGCCTATTAATACTGGAGACCATGAATTCCTGATGGTCTAACTTTAGGATGGAGGACTGGCTGACTATGTTGGACTTCACATGAACCAGATGTGTGCATTAAGGTGTGAAAACTTAGTCATGGGTCAGCTTGGCTAGGAAACTACATTTGCCTGAATTCTGTTCTTGTCTGTTTCTGAGTAGGGTGGGCCATGAAACAGATTCCGGTGAGGGATTTGGTGGGTGGAAGTGAAACTGCAGTCTTTTTGTAGCTCAAATACATTGTTGTTCATCAGCTCATTCACCTTGGTGTAAAGAATGGCTGGGTCTACAATGGTTCCACATTCCTTTAGAGCAGGGGTGGGGAACCTTTTTTCTGCCAAGGGCCATTTGGATATTTATAACATCATTCTTGGGCCATACAAAATTATCAATTGCTAAAAATTAGCCCACTATATTTGGCCAAACATTTAACTGAATTTATTGAATTTTGAGTCCTGCCTGCAGTTGCCTTGGCAGGGCCCAACATTCCCCATCCCTGCCTTAGAGCTGATATCTGGGCCAGGTGGGGTGTTCAGCTGTGACACAGGGCTCCAGCCTCTGCATAACATTCATAGCACCAAGGTCATGGGCAATAAGGACTGACACGGTTTCAGTCTGTCCTCATTGACCCCAGTTCAACTATGCTTGCTCTCCCCCACCTTCCACCCGTCTCCCCTTCTTGACTGCCTGCCCAGTGGACTTTAAGATCCACTATAGCCTACAAAGACAATAGCCTTACAGAGATTGCTTAACTAGATTTGACAATTATATAATGTCAACTCCTTGCAAAAAATTCCTTAATTCGTTCTTAGAGGTTCTACTTCTCTCATACATGGGATAATTTGCTCCTGTGGCATAGTGTCTTCTATTCTGACTAATGCAACTTTTTTTTACTGTTTTACTTGCAGGTATCTTATTTAACCCATTAAGTTTAAAAAGGGTGGGGGAAAATACAAATATTAATTTCAATACATGTTTGCCAATAAGTGAATTAATGTTTTTACTTTATGTGCTTTAAATACAGGGTATCCCAAAAAATGCACACACACTTTGAATAATTATAAAGTGTTTATTAATCTGAAACGAAAGAACCATCAATGGACCTACCACCGGTTGTTAAAGTGTGTATATGTTTTTGGGGAGACACCCTGTATATTTTCCTAAAAATCATGGAAACTAAAGACTTAACTCATCTAACAACCCATTATTGGCAATGTAAATCCTATCAAACCAGTCAGTCAAATGAGACTCTGTCAGAAAATCTGGCTTTGTTTTTTAGTCCAAATAAATGTGTGAATATATAGTTCATGATAACTTTTTTTCTGGATTCTATAGATAGATAGATAAAGCAGGAAGCCTTGTCATGTGGATAAAATATGGAGCTGCTACCTTCAATATTTCTTACTAACACTCTCTTTCTTATGATTTCACAAGATTCTCCCTCAAAAGACTTGCATTCTTTGACATTAGCTGGAAATGAGTTGTCAAAATTTTACTGCATTATCCTTCTAATATATCTGAATTCAGAAAGCTCATCATTGCAGGTGAAAATACATCATTTTAACACACCACAGGTTGAGGCTGGCAAGCAGGAAACTGCCTGCTGAGGTGCCAGTGAACTCACTGGGAAGCCACCCTCTGGGTATCCCAGCCACGTGTGTGGGTTACAGTTCTGCAAACTGTTACTGCTGTGTGTCACAAAGGCAAGAAGGAAAAGACTGCATACTTGAGTCAGGAAGAGAAGTCTTTTATTCAGCTGTGTCCCTCTAGGGTGCCCTATTGACAAAGGTAACCACTGTGCCAGCTGGCAGAAGAGAAATACTTACAGGGCCCCATTCCAGTATTTCAAAGCATAGAAAAGAAGGGTGGATTTGGAGCTGAGAGGCTACAAATTGATAACAGGCACACATTATGTTTTGCTGCAGAAAAATTAATGTAATTAATTATGAAGTGCTGTCCTAGATGTCACAGGGAGTGTTGCATTACCTATACAGTGTGTGCACCATACTACTTTTGTACAATTTAAATAGTTCTGAAATTCTGAGACCTATCTGGACCTCATGATTTTGGTTAAGGGATCGTAGACTTGTACCACTTTGTTGTAATTGTGTCTTGTAAACCCAAGTTCAAGAGGTATCTGAAAAACTGGGGGAAAAGTATGCCTTAAGGTCCTCTGTCTTTATGACCAAATCTAGTTACCAGCTGGCATTAAGTCTGAAGCAGTAAAAATACCTGGGTACCCGAGTTCTTGTATGAGAAGAGGAGAGAGCAAAGTAATAAGTCTTGGCTCAGTTTGCTTTATATAGCTTGGGTAAGACCTCTATTACACGCGTGACTCAGTAACTATGACACTGAGCTCCTGGAATTTGACCCAATAATACTAGTATTTTTTCCTCTTAATGTGGGATATGGTTTTAATAAAAGGAAAGAAACCTTGAGTTACTTCCATTACAGTTTCAATGCCAAGGGCTGTAAACTCAAGTATCTATACGGGTTAGGCACACGATTTAAATGAGTAAAGCACGCAGATATAAGACAAAAGGGAGGGATGGTGACAGTGGAAATCAAGAGTACCTGCTTTGTATAAAAAAGGTAGTTGTTACTTAACTCCTCCGTGTTGTTGCCATGCAGATCCAATATAGCAAGAGGGTTTCATTTCCTGAGAAAAATTGGAAATTTGGATTTTAAAATGTGAAACTGTCAAATTTTAAAACAACAGAAAAGACAGTGTGACAAACATACATATTGGGGATCATACTCAAGCTTGTGACTCTTACCCTAACCCTGTGTGCCAGGTCCTGTGGAAAGTGCTGGGACCTCAGAAGTCTTGGTTGGCTGTTACATTGGTGGCTCCCAATGAACCATGACTTTAATTCACGACCTTGTACAGTCTCTTCCCACATTGATTCCGGGCTGGGCCATATGACTTGCTTTGGCCAATGGGTCATTAGCAAAGGCTTAATAAGTATTCGCTCACTGGAGCCATGTCCTCTAAGAAGCAAGTTATCCTGCAGAAGCTTGATTGATAATAAGCCAGGTGGAAAGGGAGGCCCTAGGGGCTGTTTTGATGAGCTCCCAGCTGACTGCCGTCCTGTGAGTAATTGCAGCTAATACTATGTGGCTCAGCCGAATCCAGTCAACCCACACAACTGTGAAAAAATAGAACATTTTAAGCTACTAGGTCTTGGAGGTGTTTTTTATGATGCAATGTTAACTGAAACAGAGGTCATTTATTCCAACCCATTTGTTTTACTAATGAATGTCCCAAGGCCCAGATAGGGGGGAGAGTCTGATGAAATTCAGATAGCAAGTTAGTGGCAATAACTTTCCAATCCTGGCCACTTTTTTCCTATTGCTTTTCTTTCAGTTCCCACGGTGGAAAGCATGAGATATCAGGACTATGAAACTTCAAACGCTAACTGCAAGGAGCTTACACTGTGTCCTGCATGTATACAGATTACTGTAATAATCTGGACCTAAGTCCCCTCAATTTATAGGTGGAGAGAATGCAAAAAACACATTTGCAAAGAGAAAGAGAAAGGCAGCCTCTGACATTTGAAAGCTGGCCTGATCCTTTGCAGCCAGGCTGTTATATTACTAGATGATAGCCTCGCCCTCTTAGGCCTTGTGTTGTTAAATATAGTAATTTCACAGACCATAAACACCAGACAAGGCCATTCTGTAACCATGAGAGATCAAGACAAAAACAAGGCCACTCCTTAATTATACCTGAACAAAGATAAAACATAAACACTGTTCACACCCAAAAAACGATCACACATTCCCCACCCTCACTAATGTTCAGGGCTGCTGCTTATTTGCCAATTATAGCTTTACCCTCAGTCTAGTATTCCTCCCTTCCAGGTAAGATTTATTGAGATACCCAACCATAGCATTACCCCTGCTTCCTGGCACCATCTGATCCGGGTAAAGCCCCACTTCCTCAAACTCTCTCCCAGGTCACCTAACAGCTCTTCCTGAGGTGCCCCAGGACTCCTCATGGTGTGCATTCTTCCTCTCAGCAACCAGCAATAAACTCAACTTGTTCACCTGTTAGTGTGTCCCTGGTGGTCTGTGATTAGAAGGCACTGGCAGACCCGACCAAGTTCACATAGGGCTGGTGACAGTTCACGAGGCGTCTCCAGGTCTCCAGCCGTGTTCCCTCTTAGCGCCAGTCACTCTCGGTTAATGCCTCCCCCCGAACCCCCCTGGAAGGAAGCGCCACGAGAACAGAGACCTTGTCTGTGATGTTCAGAGCGGATTCCCAGCGCCTGTACTGGTACCCGGCAGTGGCTGTAAGTTTTAAAAAAAACTTTCTGAAGGAATAAATGAGTAAGAGGGGCTCAATACACGCAGGTTCCCTCTCACGCCTCAGCTCCTCCCAGTTCGCGGTGCAGACAGCGCCACAGCTCATCACAAACCTCCTCTCCCGCGCCTCGATCTCCGAACACCTCAGGGGGATCCCCGGCAGGGATGCCCCTCCCCTCACGGGCCCTCCTCCCTTGCCGAGCTGCTCTCGCTCGCCGGCCCTCTCCCACACTTGAGCCCCAACACCATCCCCTCCTGAAGCACCCAGAACCCACCTGTCTCCAATCGGCGTCTCTACCAACAGACACACGCGGACCAGCGGAGCGGCTTCCTAGGCGGCGAATGGGTGCCGCGGCCACTGACCGCGCATGTGCGGAAATGGGTCGCACACGTAGGATCTCTGACAAGTGTAAGGGGTGCCTGGGAGTTACGTTCCGGTCTGAGTGGCCCGGGGCTGCCAGGAAGTCGGGAGGAAGTAGCGGAAGGAGAACCCGCGCGCAGGGTTTTCTGGGACATGTAGTCGTGGAACTCCCGAGGCTCTACCTGGAGGGAGCCCTTAATTCTTTAGATCTGCGAGTCCCGCATTCACTATCCAGTGCTACTTTCGGCTCAGAATTCAGCTTCGCGCAGCCAGGAGGGATTGGCCAGGGGGTCGGCTTCTCGTTCCCACAACGCTCTGCGGAGCACGCGGCGCCTGCTGGGAGCTGTAGTCCTCGCTCTGCGTACTGCGTTCGCCGAGGGGGAGGGCGGAGCTGCCAGCGGCCCGGGCGGGCTGGCAGCTAGAGTGGGTGCGATTACCGCCTCCGCCTCTGCCGCCTCCGCCGTCGCCTCCTCCGCACGGGCGGTTCGCTGCTGCGCGGGGAGAGCGAGGCGGGGCCGCCGGGGCCGCCATGGAGCCCGACTCGGTGATTGAGGACAAGACCATCGAGCTCATGGTGAGTGTGGCCCGCTGGACCGTCTGTTCTTCCGTCCGTCCGGCCCCGGGCGGGCCTGCCCACC